AAGAAAGAAAGAAAGAAAGAAAGAAAGAAAGAAAGAAAGAAAGAAAGAAAGAAAGAAAGAAAGAAAGAAAGAAAAGTAAGAAGGAATTAAGGAAAGAAAGAGAAAGAAAGAAAGAAAGAAAAGTAAGAAGGAATTAAGGAAAGAAAAAGGAGGAAGGGGAAAAAAGGAAAGGAGGAAGGATTATGACTTCCACCTTTCTTTTATTGAGTAAATTATCTTTTTGTTCTTCCCTCTTCTTTTTTGACCCTTTTTAATTCCCATAAATTATCAGTCCTTTTCGGCAAAAAGTCCCTATATAATTGTTCCATTCTTCTAGAAGAGTCTTTATTTTATTTTTTTCTTTTCACCCGCGAAGTGCAACTACACCTATTTCAAACTGCTGGATTCGTGTGTGGCGGAAGGTCACGCTTACCACTGGCACAACGGGGTGAAGAGGTTTTTCAAGTGTGCCTGTGGGAACAGAGCTATTTCGCTGGACAAACTCCCCCAAAAACACTGCAGGTACGTGTGTGTGTGTTTGTGTGTCTTCCTTTTGTTTGCAACCCCTGAAAAATGGCTTATTTATTTATTTTTCCTCTTGCAGAAAACAATCTTACACCACTTTATTCTTGGACATATGCAGTTATTCCAAGCCTACTAAAATTGGGGTTCAAGCCACATTGTGCAATAAATATTTTAGAGCAAATTGAAAACAGGTTGTAGAATTCAGCAAGGCAATTAGTGAAAACCAGGTTACATTATAATTATATGATGAGTTTTCATTAAAGAATGTCATTAATACAGGGTAACTGTATTATATTTCTTCTGTTATGGCTTGACAAATAAACTGGATTAAATTATCACATATCCTGAAGGGCATTCAAGTGCATGAAGTGTCACTGCCAAAATATAATAAAATATCTTATTCTTGATGGAATATTTTCCATCAAAGTAGAGGTTATCCTTGATGGGAGATTGGGGTGCCCCTTGTCCAGTCTCTTAAACTAAAGAAAAATCAAGGCATTGGTTTTAGCAACAGACTTTCTATGAATAATCTTGTCTTTCTCCTCCTATTAGTATTAAGACACGAAATAAACCTTGGTGTGTTTTTTTTTCCTGCCTTCTTCCTGTTTCAGTAATTGTGGCCTCTTTAAATGGGAACGTGATGGAATGCTCAAGGTAAGACTCAGCCAAAGGTTTTTGCTAACAAATTTGGATTAGAAAGGAAGTCATATATTGGGTCCCTTGGTGCTCTCGGTGAGCTTGAAGGCGTTTCATGACCAAACTAGGTAATATTCTCAGTGCTAGAAGGAGTGGGGTTTGGTCCCTTCTAGCACTGATGATGTTACCTAGTTGGGTCATGAAACATCTGCAAGAAAACTACCAAGCTCAGAGGGCACCAAGGACCCCACAGGCCTCCTCCTCCTCCTCCTTGCAAATTCCACCCCCTTATAGCCCTGATAAAGTTACCTAGTTGGGTCATGAAACGTCTGCAAGAAAACCACAAAATTCAGAGAGCACCAGGGATCTCACAGCCGTTGTCGTCATCCTCCTCCCCCTACTTACCCCTCTCCCTTCCAGCACTGATGAGGTTACCCAGTTTGGTATTAAATCATCTGCAAGAAAACCACCAAATTCAGAGAGCACCAAGGGCCCCCATGGTTCGTCTCCAAGCTACAAACATTCTTTTCTTTAAGAACTCTTAGCTTTGAAGATTATTTCCTGTTCTCAGAAAAAATCCAGACACTCAAGTCTGAAGTTTATGGCCTGGAAATTTCAAGGGAGAAACTTCAGGGAGAACTTGTGAAAAATATTTGGAATTGGCATTGCATTTGGGTGCGATTATTGTTGGAAGCTAGCTTGTCCTGTGTGACACCATCACCTTATCTACAGTTAATTATGGGTAATGGGTGGAAGCTTATTTTGATGGGAAGGATTGTGATGAATTGAAGCTCTTTCGATGGGCAGCATTCGCAGCTTATAGGGACGCGGTGGCTCAGTGACTTAAGACGCTGAGCTTGTCGGTCAGAAAGGTCAGCAGTTCGAATCCCTAGCGCCGCGTAATGGAGTGAGCTCCCGTTCCTTGTCCCAGCTTCTGCAGTTCGAAAGCAGGTAAAAAATGCAAGTAGAAAAATAGGAATCACCTTTGGTGGGAAGGGAACAGCGTTCCGTGCCCCTTCGGTGTTGAGTCATGCCGGCCACATGACCATGGAGACGTCTTCAGACAGCGCTGGCTCTTCGGCTTTGAAATGGAGATGAGCACCGCCCCCTAGAGTCAGGAACAACTAGCACGTATCTGCGAGGGGAAACTTTATCTTTAATCACAGCTATCGGGGCGTTTTGTTTTCTAGGAGAAGAAAGGTCCCAAAATCGGAGCAGAAACTCTTCTGCCAAGAGGGGAAGAACACGGCCAGTTTCTCAACAGCGTGAAATAATGGCGGATGGATCCTGTCTTCGGCGATTGAATTCCCCATCTGGAGAAACTCCCTTCCCGTGAAACGTTTTCGCACAGCCATCTTCCTTCCCTGAACTGAAGAGGCCGATCCAAATAACTTTTTCTGTTTCTTTGAAACCTGGAAGGGTTTGGGGTCTAATCTTCGCCCTTTCGTTGGATTTGGGAAAGAAATGTCATCTTGGATAGTTGATGGCGTATTTAGAACGGAACGGTGAAAGTCCGTTTCTTGGGAACGGTGAAGTCTGAGATTTTGGCAAGTTTAGGATGAGGCTGGGGAAAAAAAATACTGATCTCCTGTTTTCTGAGTTTCAGTTGTATCTGAAGATATACTTCTCCTGGTCGGTCTTCGCCTAAAGCAGAGGTGTCCAAACTTGGGAACTTTAAGACATGTGGCTGGGGAATTCTGGGAGTTGGAAATCCACAAGTCTTAAAGTTCCCAAGTTTGGACACCCCTAGCATAAAGCACAGGTGTCCAACCTTGGCGGTTTTGAAGCTTTAACTCCCAGAATTCATGGCTGGCTGGGGAATTCTGGGAGTTGAAGTCCACAGGACTTAAAAGTCGTCGAGGTTGGACACTCCTGGTCTAAAGGTTAAGGCTTCGTCATCCCTTGAAATAGGATGTTTTAAAAATCCTCCTGCTTTAATGTTGGATTATGTATAGCACACTTGTGTGACCTGTTGGATTTAGCCTCAGCGACATTGATATACGTACCCCAGGGGTTGAAAGTGATTTTAATAAAACCAAGAGAGCTTTAATAAAACAAGAGAGTGTTTTACGCGCTTCACTGTTTTTTAAGATTCTGTTTTAATCCAGTAACTTAACATCTCTTTGCTGATGACTTTTCGGAATCTGCACACTACAAGTCCCAAAGCCCATCGCCACCAGCAGCCGTACTAGAAAGGGCAGCTGAACGTTGCATTTTAATGAAGTTTACAAAGTTGAAACTTCAAAATGAGCCGAGGTGGCGCAGTGGTTAGGGTGCAGTACTGCAGGCCACTTCAGCTGACTGCTATCTGCAGTTCAGCGGTTCTAATCTCACCGGCTCNCCTTTAAGACTTGTGGACTTCAAGAGTTGAAGTCCACAAGTCTTAAAGGCGCCAAGGTTGGAGACCCCTGGTCTAGATGAATTGCAAATATTTCCTGGAATGAATAGCTGAACAGCTTTGTGTACATCTTGCTTTAACCAATTCGGAGATGTAATTCCAGATGTTATCCGGCTTGAATGCTTTGTTGTTTTGAAATCTCTTTATCTCGATTTTCCAGATATTCCACAAGGCCAATTCGCTCTCCTAAGTAGTCTTTATTTTATTGTCTCCTAATAGTGAGAAGATCTGAAATGGTTCATCTGGGTCATAGAAGGTCACTCAAACTCCTATGCCATAAATACACTCCAATGCTCTTTTAATGAATCAGTTTATCGACAGAGTCCAAAATCCAATATGCTCCTTTTTGTCTTGAATGAATTAATGGATTTACATATTTACATATTTGGTTTACATATTTGATGTGAGGTCCATGACAGCTTCTGGCTTGGATCAGACTGGAGATGTAGCAATTTTGAATTGTCTAGGACAGAGGTCTTCAAACTTGGCAACTTTAAGACTTGCGGACTTCAACTCCCAGAATTCTTCAGCCAGCTGGAGAATTCTGGGAGTTGAAGTCCGCAAGTCTTAAAGTTGCCAAGTTTGAAGACCTCTGGTCTAGGACTTCTTAGAAGCTTATCACCTGATCTCCCGCAATTCTTCCAACTCTTAGAAATGAATTGGGTTGGACAACTCATTCTGCTTCAGTCTTTGTGTTCCCCAGATCTCCTTTGCTAACTCTGCTTTTCCTCCACAGGTGATCATGGTAACAGGTGACCATCCCATCACAGCTAAAGCCATCGCCAAAGGTGTTGGAATTATCTCAGAGGGCAATGAGACAGTAGAAGACATTGCTGCCCGGTTAAACATTCCTGTCAGTCAGGTCAACCCCAGGTGAGGGGAAAAATAGAAGGGCGGAGGTCAACCTCTGGGTCTGGGGAAAAAGTAACACCTTCCAGGACATCATGGAATCTGTCAGAGTTTGTTGCAGAAATCACGTCCGGAAAGCACACACAGATAACTGATTCAGCAGGGTTCATTAACTTCTTTATACACATAATAACAGATGAATAAATGTACAATACCCACAGCAGATTCTTCCAACGTGGTAGCAGTTACAAGCAAGCACAAGGCATAGGAGAGCAGACTAGTTTAGTTCTCTTGCACAGAGTCAAAGCTCCATAGGTATGACCATGTGCAAGAGCCTGCCCATACTGGGAACAGGTTCCAGCTGTTCTTCTGCCTCACTGATCTCCGATTCCAAAGGCAGCTGATAACTGTCACATGGCCCTGGCCCCATCTCTGCCTCCGACGCAGAGCCCTCGTCAGAGCTTCCCCAGACTTCAGGACTGGCCCATGTTCCTCCCCAACCTCTTCACTGTCCGAGTCGGCCACCATCTCTGCGGCCACAACATTTCTGTTCTTGGGACTTCTTAGAAAAAGGCAGGAGGACAAATATAACAAAGAACAACATGGAAATGATGAAGTATAACAGTCCATAGTTAACACTCTATCTGCATGCGGGGAGGTCATGCTTGCCCTCTCTACTGTCTTTTGTCTTCCTAGAGATGCCAAGGCTTGTGTGATCCATGGGACAGATTTGAAAGACATGCCTTTGGAGCAAATTGATGAAATCCTGCAGAATCACACCGAGATCGTCTTTGCCCGTACTTCTCCGCAGCAGAAGCTCATCATTGTGGAAGGTTGCCAAAGACAGGTAGAGATTGAGAAGGACGTCCATCCAACCAAGTCATGTGTCTAGATCTCCTTCCCACTGGCAAATCCCATTCAATTTATCTTCGCCAGCAAGTAGGGAGTTGGGACGAAGGACTTTCAGAGCAGAACAGTGCCATAGGTGTAAAAATATGCAACCCCAAATGCATGGATTTACACACTTGAGAGACCGACAGAAGGATTTTGCTACTCCCATAGCCTACGGATTCCATTAGCTGTGGTGGCGCAGTGGTTAGAGCACAGTACTGCAGGCTACTCCTGCTGACTGCCGGCTGACTGCAATTTGGCAGATCGAATCTCGCCAGTCTCAAGGTTGACTCAGCCTTCCCTCCTTCCGAGGTGGGTCAAATGAGGACCCAGATTGTTGGGGGCAAGAGGCTGGCTCTGTAAACTGCTTAGAGAGGGCTCTAAAAGCACTGTAAAGCGGTATATAAGACTAAGCGCTATTCCTATTCCTCCTTCCATCCTCCCTCCCTCTCCTTCCTTCTTTCCTTCCCACTTAGCCCTTATATACCGCTTCACAGTCCGTCCGTCCGTCCTTCCTTCTTTCCTTCCCACTTAGCCCTTAGACTTATATACCGCTTTACAGTGCTTTTACAGCCCTCTCTAAGCAGTTTACAGAGTCAGCCTCTTGCCCCCAACAATTTGGGTCCTCATTTGACCCACCTCGGAAGGAGGGAAGGCTGAGTCAACCTTGAGACTGGCGAGATTCGATCTGCCAAATTGCAG